AGACATCTAGATCTCAACACTCCCCTGCGACACGAAATAGTGTCACTTTGTTGAACGACTTAGTGATCTTTGGCTGACAAGCCCCATGTATCTCATATACTTAAAGTGCAAATTTGCAGGCAATGTTTTCGTCAGCAAATCCGCTGGATTTTCATCACCAGACACATGTTCAAGGACAATCATTTTGTCCTCGATTAGGTCTCTTGTACGATACACCTTGGGATCGATGTGCTTGTTCGAATTTGAACGTATATAGCCATCTTTAACTTGATTCATAGCTGCCAAATTATCTTCATACACCGTAATTGGCGTTTCCATGAGCGGAATTTTCAAGGTGTTCTCCATGGCTTTGGTAAAGTTCACCAGCCACGGAATTTCACGAGAAGCTTCATATAAAGCAATCAATTCCGATTCAAATGAGGATGTAGCACTAAGCGTTTGTTTAATAGAACGCCAATGAAAGGCAGTTCCATTAATCAGACAAACATAGCCTGTCTGACTTTTTGCGTTCCGTGAATCTGATCGATGTCCGGCATCGGCATACACTTGAATATGTGGCAAAGCATTATCGTTCTTCTTGTAAAATAGCCCATAATCGTGGGTTTTCTTCAAGTATTGGCAGACTTGCTTGATTGCGTTGTAGTGTCTTAAACCAGGCCTTGACGTGAATCTAGCGAGTAAACTCACTGAGAAACTAATGTCTGGACGGGTGGTATTTGCCAAGTATGATAACATGCCGATGTAAGATCGGTAGGCGGTGTTATACGGCCAAACTTCTTCATCATCTTTAAGTGCTCGATAGATATCATGTCCATATAAGACATTTCTAACTTGCAATGGTGTATCACATGGAGTAGTATACTCGAGATTGACGATTTCCAATATTTTGGACACCATTTTCGATTGATGAATGAATGTGCCGCTACTTGTGTGGATAATTTCCACGCCAATGCAGGCGGTAACAGTATTGAAGTCTTTCATTGCAAAGTGGTTTTTCAGCAGTTGCTTGGTATGTGAAATGGCTTGTGTCGGACCCATAATATTGGTGTCATCCACGTAAATCGACGTGATAGACGGTCCGTGCTCCGTATTTTGAAAAAATACACTTGGAGCTTCTACACAATTTGTAAATCCTTCGGATTTCAACACTTCAGCGTACTTTGAATACCATTGTCGTCCAGACTGTTTAAGTCCATATAACGACTTCTGCAACTTTACACAAGGTTGTCTAATATGATCAGGCGTATGAAGACCATCTGGTACTTTCATATAGATATCTTCCAGCAAATCGCCGTATAGATACGCCGTTTGTACGTCCATCGCGTGGATCGCCCAGTCTTTTTGTGTGGCAATGCCTATCAAATATCGATAGGTGGCAATGTCAAGAACTGGTGAATACGTCGAGGTGTAATCTTGACCATATTTTTGACTAAACCCTTGGGCCACTAATCGTGCTTTGTATCTTTTTGATGGTTCAGTTTTTATTGTAAGAATCAATCGATTGCCAATAAGTGTCTTCCCAGTCGGCAGTTCCATAACAGAACTAAACACGCCCCTCTCATCGAGAGATTGATATTCGGCGTGAATTGCATCGCGCCAGACTTTCCAATTCGGTAGTTTCTGGGCTTCAGCAACATTCTTGGGTATCACTTCACCAGCAATCATGATCGAAAAATTATCAACCATGTCGATAGTAATGTCATCTGCAAAATCTGCAATGTCGATGAAGTTTGATTTTGTTTTCCCACTACGTGTTCTTGGCAAGTTAATATCAACTGCCGCAACATCCCGCGGAGCGGTATAGTTTTCGGGGGGAATGATTTGGCTGTGTTTCACGTGTTTAGGTGTCTTAATCGGTACCTTGCGGGGATGGACATCATCGTCTGAAGCATCAATCACTGTCGGTGATGAGTTCAAAATTGACTTTGATGGTGAAATCCGTGACGGGTTCACCTCCCCTGCAACAGATACTGTAGCGCCTTTGCTATTGTTCTGAGAAGGCGTAGTAGAAACACTATGATCAACTTGAGGCCATTTTCTTTTGTTGCTGACGGAAACATTTTCACTTGCGTTCGTTGAAGGTTGATGCCTCTGAACAATATCAGCATTGTTTCTTGTCATAGAATATCGTTGTTCTAACATACTTGTAATCAATAAACTCGCATATTGTTCATCAAATTGATCAGTGATATCCACTTGAACTGCAGTTAAAGATTGATCCAATTTTGGAAACACGTCCTCATTGAATGTGCAATGTTGGAATCGAGCAGCAATCAGTCGATTGGTGTGAATGTCAATGACTTTGACCACCGATCGTGATATGAAGCCGATATATATTGATCGCTTAGAACGATCATCCAACTTTGTACGTAACTCTGGTGGTACTAACACGTAAACTTCACATCCGAATGGTCGGAAATGTAGAAGAGACGGCTTCTCACCAAAGAAAGTTTCATGAGGGGTCAAGTAGTGTAGTGCCGTATGTGGCCAAACTTCTAATAACGCATTTGCATGAAGATACGCGAGAGCCCAAGCATCGGTTCCCAGGTTTGAAGCAACGAGAATGGTGCGTTGGACATACGTTATTTTCTTAACATACGCCTCCGCTATGCCATTGGTTTCGTGTTCATATGGTACTGAGTATGATACGGTAATTCCGTTGGCTTCACAATACTTCGAAAAAGCATTACTTCGAAATTCCATTGCATTATCAATGCGAATGATTCTGATACGATGATCAGGTAGGTGTTGCATGAGTCGAAAAACTAACACCAAAATGCGGTAGAAAGCTTCGTTCCGCGACGTGAGAAGTGCGACTGAACCTTTTCTGGAACAATTGTCGACGACTACTAACACGTATTTATACCCCATGGAATTAGGTGTGAGAGGACCAATAATGTCGATGTCCAACCTTTCCAATAATCGGTATTGAATGTCTCCAGATTCGGAGAAGTGGTGTCTGTGTGACTTCCCCAGTATACAGGGTATGCAGTTTTCTTGCATTCCATCTTCAGCAATATATTTTGCAACTTGTTTTGCGTCATTCACAGCATCATAGTTCACCATACGTTTCAAGGTAGTAATGGACAAGTGACCAAGTCGCTCATGCCATGGGTGAACAATGTGCACTTTGTTTGATGTCGAAACACCGGTGAACGCAACGTAGAATGGACGTGTAAAAGGAATTTCACAATAATAATCGTCTTTGATTAAGACTTTAATGTGATCTTTGTGCACTGTCGCATCATAGTTGTTCACCAAATCGGTGAAAGCAATAATGTTCGTAGATGGTTTGTTGTTGCTTATAGGAATGTAATAAGCTTTTGGTATATGTATGCTTACTTGATTATTCAAAATAATCGAAACGGAACCAACACCCTGAACTAATTGTTCATTTTGTCCCACAATTGTGTGAACTTGGATGGAGCAAGGTCTCATTTCATTGAATAAATCAGGGTCACTGAAGAAGGAATTCTCACTTCCAGTATCGATCAAAGCAATTTTATTGGTTTTGCTCATTACATGATGAGATGTTGATTTATTTGTTACAGGAATGAGATCTTGTGGATTCTCGTGATCGTGAGTTTGATCAACTGTTCCTGCGACATAAATCATGTGAGCATTGATTGGTTTGTGCAAACGTTCAGAAATTGGAACGTACGTGTGCATGTGATAGTCGTCATCTTCAAAGTCGGTAGTAGACTTCAGAAACTTAGCAGGAAACCCAAATTGCTCAAAGTGAGATTGGACTTTGGCTTTGGCTTGATTTCGTTTGCTTCTATCACTAGCCGAATCATCACCAATTGTGATATTATTGATTGCGGTGCGTGGATTTTTCTTGGCAGCTTCATTACGCTCATTAATGAGACGTTGTAGCATATAACACTTTTGGAGTGCGTGTTTGCCTTTGTTGCAAAACTTGCAAACATCAGCTTCTTCATCCACATCGGATATAGAAGAATTGTCTTTAGTCGGATTTGACTTGACAGATGGATTACCACATCCGCTGGTAGTGTGATTGTCATAGCGATATTTGCCAGATGCATAACACAAATCACAGTGTTTAGTAGACTTGACCTCAGGAGCAGCCTTCTTGGTAACCTTGGCCGTATCGGCTTTAGCACCGAGTAGTGGAGGCTTCTTGTTGTCTTTACGTTTGCCACTCTTCTTAGCTGTAATTGCGGCTGATTGAGTCATCTCTTGACCGATTTTCGGGATGGCTGGGGTGGCTTTATCACCGAAGAACTCCTTGTTACCATATTGGTCGGTAAAGCAGGTGATCAAATTGAGAATATCGGCGGGAGTAAAGATTTTATCCTGCGGGGAGAATACTATGTGATCCAAAACACGTTTGGCACCCGGAGTTGAGGGCATGGTGTGTTTCATTTTGTCGACTCTCATCTGATCGGTGACTAATTCGGTCATTCCCATCATCGGTTTAGATAGGGTATCGACCAGATTCCGTTCAATAGAGGTATATTCATGGATGTTTTCATAGCCGGAGATCTTCAAGTCCTGCCACTTCTTGATATTCAAGGTTCGTGTATGTTCAGAGTTGACTTCACATTGAAGCTTGAGACGGCTCCAAATATCTGGAGGATTGTCCAACTGATTGATAAGGACTTGAAAAGTTTCATCCAGTCCACCGCGAATCAATTCCTTGAGTTTTAGCATTCGCTCCAAATGAAGGAAATGCAAGTCAATATCGGTGGGATTATCGGAGGTGAGCGCGTCAAATTTACGCGTTGCATCACATATATTCAACTGTAGGTAAGGTTGAAGACGGCTAGACGTGATTTTGTCCATCATTGTCCGTTCCCATAGAGTCCAGTTGGTACCAGCTTGATCCAAGAAGGGAAATTTCCAGGTTAGATCATACTGAGGTTGATTTTTAGCGGTAACCATAGCATTGAAGGACTTGAATTCACGGAATGCTACAGGGGGTACGGCTGGTGGACGTGTTTCATTGGTGAAAACACGTGAATTTTGTTGAAGAGGAGGAGCTTCGGTAGTTGAAGAATCACCCATTCTGAATTATTTTATGAAGGTTTTTGATGTTGAGCTAGAGACTTTTAATCTGTTGAGATGCGGTCAGT